AGGAGGCAGAGGTTGCAGTGAGCCGAGAGAGTGCCACTGCACTCCAGCCTGGGCGACAGAGCTAGACGCTATCTTAAAAAAAAAAAAAAAATTGGAATAAGTTCTAGTGTTTGATAGCACTGCATTGTGGCTATAGTTAACAATAATTTAGTATTTCTTTCAAAATAGAAGAGAAGGTTTGGTATGTTCTCAACAGAAAGAAATGTTTGAAGTGGTAGATATCCTAATTACCCTGATTTGATCATCACACACTGTATGCATGTATTGGAATATCACATGTACTCCATATATATGTACATCATTATATATCAATAAAAAGTATTTTGCTCATTTCAATATTTGTTTTCTTTCTTTCTTTCTTTTTTTTTTTTTTTGAGACGGAGTTTTGCTCTTGTTGCCCAGGCTGGCGTGCAATGGCACGATCTCGGCTCACCACAACCTCTGCCTCCTGGGTTCAAGCAATTATCTTGCCTCAGCCTCCAGAGTAGCTAGGACTACAGGCATACGCCACCATACCTAACTAATTTTGTATATTTAGTAGAGACGGGGTTTCTCCATGTTGCTCAGGCTGATCTCTAACTCCCAACCTCAGGTGATCCACCTGCCTCGGCCTCCCAAAGGGCTGAGAATGTAGGTGTGAGCCACTGTGCCCAGACAATATCTGTTTTCTTACTGAATTTAAAAAATTATTTGGATATTCAGGATATTTCTTTTGTCAATTAGATGTTTCTTCTAGCCTGATATGCATGTGTGCGTGTCTTGTCTTTTTATATTCCTAACAGTGTCTTTCATAGAGCAGATGTTTTAAATTCTTTTATCTATCATGCTTTTGATGTCATTTTTTAAAAATTTGTGTGTGTGTGTATATATATATATATATAAATATATATATATATATATAGTTTTTATTTTTTTGGAGACAGAGTCTTACTCTGTCGCCCGGGCTGGAGTGCAGTGGCGCAGTCTCAGCTCACTGCAAGCTCCGCCTCCTGGGTTCACGCCATTCTCCTGCCTCAGCTTCCCCAGCAGCTGGGACTACAGGCGTCCGCCACCATGCCCGGCTAATTTTTTTGTATTTTTAGTAGAGTAGAGACAGGGTTTCATGTGTTAGCCGGGATGGTCTCCATCTCCTGACCTTGTGATCCACCCGCCTCAGCCTCCCAAAGTGCTGGGATTACAGGCGTGAGCCACCGCGCCTGACCTTAATTAATATTTTTTAGAGACAGGTTCTCACTTTGTGTCCAGGGTAGGGTACTGTGGCACAAACATGGCTGACTATAGCCTCAACTTCCTGGGCTCAAGCAATCCTCCCATCTTAGCCTCCCAAGTTACTGGAGCTACAAATGTGTGCCACCACACCCCAGCTTGTTTTAAAATTTTTTTGTGGAAGTGAGGTCTTGCTCTGTTGCCCAGGTTGGTCTTGAACTTCTGTCCTCAAGTGATGCTCCCACCTTGGCCTCCCAAAGTGCTAGGATTATAGGCGTGAGCCACCATGTCCAACCCTGGTGTCATTTTTCTAAGAAAACTTTTAGGAAACCAAGGTCACAAAGATTTTTCTGCAAACTTCTTATACATATTTTGTAGTTTTAGTTTTTACATTTAGCTGTGTGATCCATTCTGAATTAATTTTTATACATAGTTTGAGGTGTTGGTTGAGGCTCATAGTTTTTTGCATATGGATATCCAGTTGTTTCAGTGCCATGTGTTCAAATGACTATCCTGTTTTTGTTGAATTACTTTTACAACTTTGTGGAAAATCAATTGATCATATATATGTGTGTCTATTTGTAGACTGTCTTCTTTTCCTATTTTCCAGTATGTTAATCCTTTTGTCAACATCTCACTGTTGATTATTGTAGCTTTCTATGAAGTCTTAATGTTAGATAGTGTGAATCCTCCAACTTTGTTTTTCTTTTCAAAATTGTCTTGGCAATTCTAGTTCCTTTGCCTTTCCATATAAATTTTAGAATCAGCTTGTCATTTTTTATAAAAAGATTGCTGGGGATTTGAATGGAATTGCATTGAATCTATAGAAGAATTTGGAGAGAACTGAAACCTTCACCAGATAAAGTCTTCCAATCCATGAACACATCCATATCTCTCCATTTGCTTAGGTTTTTAATTTCTTTAATCTGTAATTTATAGTTTTCAGCATAGTGTTTGCCTTTTAGGTGCTATTATAAAATGTACTGTTTTGTCCATTGCTTGTACAGTTGGTAACCTTATTTGAAGGTTTGAAGACACCTCATTTAATATATATTATTGAATCATTAACATTGAACTTACACAGCCAATAGTGCTATAACTCATGCCTGAATAAGCTTATCTAAAATACAGATTTTCTCCACAAGGCAGATCATAGCTTCCTTGTGCTTAGGTACACTAGGTAGCACTTGAGCACTGTGCCAGGGGACCATTTTAAACATCAAAATTACTGGGAAAAAAACAAAAAAAAGCACAAAAACATGGCACTAAGTAGAGCGCTAAAAGGAGACTTGTTTATTGTATGAGACCTGAACTAAAAAGACACAGTATCACTTTGACCTCAGCTGGGAATGTGTATGTTAGATGACTCAAATTTTTCACTGCTCTGTACATGTTCATGAATGACCATGAGAGTGCCGTAAATATTGATTTTGGGATTACAAATAAATTTTAGTGAGTAGGCAAATTAGGAATCTGTGAATGAAGATCAACTATATAAAAGTAAAATTGACTTCTGTGCTATATATTGGCCTTATATCCTGGGTCTTGCTAACTCAGGTGATAGAGCTTTTTTGTTGATTCTTTGGCATTTTCTTCATCAATATTCATGTCATCGGCAAATAGGGGTACTTTTATTATTCCTTTTTTCTCTCTTTTTCTCTTTTTAAAATTGCAGTAAAAAGCACAGCAAATAAATTTACCCACTGGTCTGGTTGCAGTGATGTTTACAACCAATTATAGATTTCTTTGTTCCTTCTCCATTTCCACTGCCTTACTTGAGTAACCTAAAAAAAAGAAAAAAAAAATACCCTCTTAACAAAAATTTTAAGTACATTTTATGGCATTGTTAATTATGTGCATATTGTTGTTCAATAGTTATCTAGAACTTTTTCACCTTGCATTACTGAAACTACCCATTTAGTGACAGCTCCCCATTTCTCCCTCCCCACAACACTTGACAACCACCATTCTACTTTCCATTTCTGTGTGCTTGATTACTTTAGGTACCTCATATAAGTGGAATCACATGCAGTATTTGTCCTTTTCTGATTGGCTTATTTTACTTAGCATAATGTCCTCAAGGTTAATTTATGCTGTGGCATATGATAGGATTTACTTCTTTTATAATACTGAACATTCCATGGTATGTATATGTTGTATTTTCTGTATCCATCTATCAGTGGACATTTCGGTTGTATCTATATGCTTAATGTTAGCAATGCTGCAATGAACGTGGATTGTGCAGATATCTCTTCAAGATCCTGTTTTCAGTTCATTTGGATATACACCTAGAAGTGGGATCATATGGTAGTTCTAGTTTTAATTTTTTGAGGAAGCTCTATACTGTTTTCCATAGTAGCTTCACCATTTTACAGTCGTACTAACAGTGCACAGGGGTTTCAGTTTTCCCACATCCTCCAATACTTGTTATTTTCTGGTTTTTTGATATTGGCAATTCTAACAGGTATGAAGATGAGATCTCATTGTGGTTTTGATTTTTATTTCTTTTATGATTAGTGATGTTGAGCATCTTTTCATATGCTTGTTGACCATTGTATATCTTTTTTTTTTTTTTTTAAGATAGGGTCTTGCTTCGTTGCCCAGACTGGGGTGCAGTCGCACGCTTATGGCTCACTGCAGCCTTGACCTCAAGCAGTCCTCTCACCTCAGCCTCATGAGTAGCTGGGACTACAGGCGTGCGCCACCATGCCCAGCTAATTTTTGTATTTTTTCATAGAGGTGGGATTTCACCATGTTGTCCAGGCTGGTCTTGAACTCAGTGATCCACCTGCCTCTGCCCCCCAAAATGCTGGTATTACAAGTGTGAGCCACTGTTACCAGCTCATTGTATATCTTTGGAGAAATGTCTATTCAAGCTGTTTACCCATTTTCAAATTGGATTATTTTTTGTTGTTAAAGTTGAGAAGTTCTTTACCTATTCTGGGTGATAGCCCCTTATCTGATATGTGGTTTGCAAATATTTTCTCCCATTCTGTAGATTGTCTTTTTACTCTGTTGATTGTGTCGTTTGGTGCACACAAGTTTTTCAGTTTGATGCAGTCCCATTTGTCTATTTTTGCTTTTGTTACCTGTACTTTTGGTGTCATATCCAAGAAATCATAGCCCATTTCAATGTCATGAAGCTTTTTCCCTATGTTTGCTTCTAGGAGTTTTATAGTTTCAGGTGCTACCTTTGTACCTGTAATCGATTTTGAGTTAGTTTTTGTATATGGTGTGAGATAAAGTCCATCTTTAATCTTTTGCATGGGCATGTCCAGTTTTCTCAACACCATTTGCTGAAGAGAGAATCGTTTTTCCATTGTGGAGTCTTGGCACCATTATCAAAGATTATTTGACACGATACCTCCTGGGATCAAGTGATCCTCCCACCTCAGCCTCCCAAGTGACTGGGACCACCAGAAGGTGACACCACACCTGGCTGATTTTTGTATGTTTTGTGGAGACGGGGTTTTGTCATGTTGCCCAGGCTGGTCTTGAACTCCTGAGCTCAAGCGATCTGCCCACCTAGGCCTCCCTAGTGTTGTGATTACAGGCATAAGCCACCATGTCTAGCTCCCACATTTTTGTTATATTTTAGATCCAGCTTGTTAGGTCTTTTGATACATTTCTTTATCCTTAATGTTTTGTATTTTGCCATATTACTGTGTATAAGTGTAGATTTTACTATTGATTAGCAGTGGAGAGTTTTTTCAACCTAGAAAATAATATCTTGGAAAAATTTCAACCATTATTTATTTATTTATTTTGAGATGAAGTCTCACTCTATCACCCAGGCTGGAGTGCAGTGGCAAGATCTCGGCTCATCACAACCTTCGCCTCCCAGGTTCAAGCCATTCTCCTACCTCAGTCTCCTGAGTAGCTGGGATTACAGGTGCGTGCCACCATGCCCAGCTAATTTTTGTATTTTGAGTAGAGACAGGGTTTCACCATGTTGGCTAGGGTGGTCTTAAACTCCTGACCTTGTGATTCACCTGCCTTGGCTTCCCAAAATGCTGGGATTACAGGCATGAGCCACCACGCCTGGCCTCAACCATTATTTTTTAAAAAAACATTTCCTTCACCTCTTCTATTTTTTCCTTCTGAAACTGCAATTATTTCACTGTTGGAACCTATGTTCCCTATTTCTTAGTTCTTTTTTCCTCACTGTGTAATATCTTAATCTTCTTTATACTGTGTTCTAGGTAATTTCTAATACATAAGTTATCTCTTCATTTGTTGTTAGCCGGATGTTTATCCCATCTATTGATTTTAATTTTAAAGACCATTTTCTATTTCCGAGATTTACAATAGATTCTTTTTATAAATGCCTGTGATCATTTAATTATCTTCTATTCTTCTTTTAGGATGTTAGTCCCACTTAAGTATATTTAGTATGCTCAAAGAGATAAAAAAAATTAAGATTCTTCATTTAAAAAACTGTCTTCAGGTGTAAATTCTATTTGCTGTGTCTGCTTATTGGTAGTAATTTTCCTAAAGTATAATTTTGGTTTGTGGGCTCACGTTGGGTTGTTTTTTCCTGTGTGTGTTTTACCCCTTTTGTGTGGCTTTGGAGTTTACTCCACCTGTCCCTCTGGCTGACATAGCTCTAGGTCAGCTGTTTCATTAGGAATTTGGGTTTTTACTTTGGGAATAGCCTAGTTCTGGACCACACTACATGTGTTATATGTGTTATGCAGGCCCAGTGTCTATTCTCAGGATAGCTCTGTTCCTGCCACAGTTGGGTGGAACTTTTTTTGGCCCAGTTCCAGCAAGGAATCTGTTTCTGGTCTTCTGTTCCATGCATGGCATGCTGGACTTCTGGAGCGTCACAGCTTTAGCTACACTGTTTTTAGTTAAAAGCCCTTTTCCTGGGGGCTGCATGGCTTTAGTGCCCACTTAACCACTCTAAATTTGTCAACCACGAAGATCTTACTTATACTCTTATTGAGTGTAGCTAAATATTTAAAGTTTTATCTAGTTTCTCGTATATCCTTCTAGAGGTACTTTATGTTTATATAAGTAATAATGTGCTTATTTTCCTTTGTTTGTATACAGAAGTTAGCATACTATATATTGTATTATATTAGTTCGTTCTCGTTCTGCTATAAAGAAATACCCGAGACTGGGTAATTTATAAAGAAAAGAGATTTAAATTGGCTCATGGTTCTGCAGGCTGTATAGGAACCAGGCTGGGGAGGCCTCAGGAAACTTAAAATCATGGCGAAAGTGAAGGGGGAGCAGGCGCATCTTACAAGGGGAGGGCAGAGAGGGAGAAGGTGCCACACGCTTTTTTTTTTTTAAATCAGGCATTTAGAAACAAGAAAGCGTACATTAATTACATAAAAATAGTTTTTGAATAACAGTAAGCATCATATTGTCATTAGCAACAACATAGGACATGGGGCGGGATGCAGGACTCTGGGTGGTTTTAAAGATAGAGGTGGGTGGGTTTCTTTCCCCCCTTTTTTTTTTTTGCAGGGCTCTGGGTGGTTTTAAAGGTAGAGGGCGGTTCCCACCCACTCCCTTTTTTTTTGAGATGAAATTTCGCTCTTGTTGTCCAGGCTGGAGTGCAATGGCACAATCTTAGCTCACCACAACCTCTGCCTCACAGGTTCAGGCGATTCTCCTGCCTCAACCTCCTGAGTAGCTGAGATTACAGGCATGCGCCACCACACCTGGCTAATTTTGTATTTTTAGTAGAGACAGGGTTTCTCCATGTTGGTTAGGCTGGTCTCGAACTCCCAACCTCAGGTGATCCGTCTGCCTTGGCCTCCCAAAGTGCTGGGATTACAGGCATGAGCTACTGTGTTCGGCCCTTTTTTTCCCTTAATTGGGGGGAAAAAAGTTATTTGTTATTCCTGACTTAAAGCAAGAACAAATGCCTCCCTGGACCCTGGTGGACTGTGTAACAGGGAGGGTCAGGGAGGAGTGAGAAGGGCTCTGCACCTACTGGGAGGATGGTGTCATATGGAAAACTGGCACGGGGGCTTCTTCTCCTCCTCTGTGCCACACACATTTTTGAACAACCAGATCTCAGGAGCACTCACTATCACGAGAGCAGCACGGAGGGGGAAATCCACCCCCATAATTCAGTCACCTCCCACCAGGTCCTACCTCCAACACTGGGGATTTGGGTGGGGCCACAGACCCAAACCATATCACCTATACTTTGCTTTTCTTAATAAGATAGGGAGTATTTTTTTTTTTTTTTTTTGAGAGACAGAATCTTGCTGTGTCTCCCAGATGGAGTGCAGTGGTGCAGTCATAGCTTACCGTAGCTTCAACCTCTGGGCTCAAGCAATCCTCCCACTTCAGTCTCCCTAGTAGCTGGGACTACAGGCATGCACCACCATGCTCAGCTAATTAAAAAAAAAAAAAAAAAAAAAATTAAACATGGGATCTTGCTTTGTTGCCCAGGCTGGTCTTGAACTCCTGGGCTCAAGTGATCTTCCCACCTTGGCCTCCCAGAGTTCTGGGTTTACAGGCGTGAGCTACCATGCCCAGCCAAGATAGGAAGTATTTCCATTTGGTAAATCAGAGGGCTGGCATGGAGATTTGGTTTCTTTGTTAAGGAGACCTGCTGATTTGACCTGCATAGTTTATCTTCATCACAATGGGTAGAGACTTTTCCTACTTTTGAATTTTTACATTGTTTTTTACATATAGTTTAAAAAATGTTTATCCTCTCATTTTCTTTAATATAAAGATTAATCAGTTCTCTAATTGTGACCTTAACTTCCCCATGTCCTTTAAATTTTCATCATCCATTAAATTAAATTAATAATGTACCTACTGTTTATAGGTTCCTGAGAACTATGTGCTTCTATGTCTTCTTTGTGGGATATTTAAAAAATATTAATGGTAACAAGCACTTACATACATTTACTATGTGTTAGCACAGAAGTATAGAACAAAAGAGGAGAAATTGTTTGGAGGCAGTGATAAGGAGTCTATGTCACTGAGAAATATGAAAAGACGTTCAACCACTAGTATTAGAATCAGCAATAAACTGAAGTTTTAGTTCCTTCCATTTCTCATGCACGTGCTACATTTCTTTCAGCTGTTTTTGGGGATGCAATGTAAAATAGTTTTGTTACAGCAGTAGCTTAAGATGAGCTGTATTAGCATTTTCAGGGTTTAAACTCCTAAAATCTCAGGTAGGTATATATTATTTTCTTGAGAACCTACAAAAAAAATCTCATTCCACTAATTTCAGAGCAGCGTAGGACTTATCCAATGTAGGAATTGGTCGTTCAGTCTAAAATAATGGCCGGGCACGGTGACTCACACCTGTAATCCCAGCACTTTGGGAGGCTGAGGCGGCCAGATCAATTGAGGTCAGGAGTTTGAGACCAGCCTGGCCAACATGGTGAAACCCTGTTTCTCCTAAAAATATAGAAATTAGCCAGGTGTGATGGCACACACCTGTAGTCCCAGCTACTGGGGATGCTGAGGCAGGAGAATCGCTTGAACCTGGGAGGCAGAGGTTGCAGTGAACCGAGATCGCGCCACTGCAGTCCACTCTGGGCGACAGAGCAATACTCTGTCTCAAAGAAATAAAATAATATAAAATAAAATAACAATAAGTATAGTTTTTAAGTGGCTGCTTTTTGTCAGTTGCTGTAGTAAGTACTATAAGCCTAATAGTATACATTTACTGAGTTCTTGCTATGTGCCAGGTGCTGCTTTTTCCATATTAATCTAATCTTAATAACAAGCCCGTGAGGAAAATCCTGTTATTCTTGTTTTACAAATAAGATAAGGATAAGTAGGATATCATGAAGTTGAGTAACTTGTTTAGAGTCACAGAGTTTATAAGAGTTTATAAGTCTAGCACCAGAGATGTATTCAACATCAAATATTGTACCTCCTATCTTCTTTAATTTTCACAGTAAGCCTATGAGGTAAGTATATAGAAAAGGAAACAGAGAGAGTGTGTAACTCTCTCATGGTCACTTGTTTCTGATCCCCATGAACCATACCATCAAACTCTTGCACTTAAGAAAATAGTCCAGTTTTTATACAACTTCATCTTACAACTCTTACTGCTTCTTGTCTTATCTCCCAGGGCCATTTCTGAGCAGTAGAGGCTTCAAGTAATCCACTAACAACTAGTTCCAAATTCTGTCGTCAAATCCTGTGCTGCTGTTCCAAGTGGTAAGTTTTCTTATGGACATAGTAAAACTTTAATATATTCTACTTCATAAGTATCTTCATCTGTAAAAGGAACAAAGTATACTTTTGTGAACACATGATTGATTAGGCTTTATTGTTTTGCTACTGCTTTATCATACTGAGAAAATCAGAAGTTAAATATTAATATATTTGCCTGGCACAACTTTTGAAAATATTTAGCCCAACAAATAAGATGCTTTATGTCTATCAGCTCGGTCTACTGTTATTTGTTATAATTCTATCTTGGCCGGGCGCGGTGGCTCACGCCTGTAATCCCAGCACTTTGGGAGGCCGAGGCGGGTGGATCACGAGGTCAGGAGATCGAGACCATCCTGGCTAACACGGTGAAACCCCGTCTCTACTAAAAATGCAAAAAATTAGCCAGGTGTGGTGGCGGGCGCCTGTAGTCCCAGCTACTTGGGATGCTGAGGCAGGAGAATGGCGTGAACCCGGGAGGCGGAGCTTGCAGTGAGCCGAGATTGCGCCACTGCACTCCAGCCTGGGCGACTGAGTGAGACTCCGTCTCAAAAAAAAATAATAATAATAATAATTGTATCTTTAGACCACATATTCAAGTGCTAAATGGACAAACACAGTGGTATGTTTTAATAGAGTTAAATTAGAACTATTATATATACATGAAAAACATTAGTGAACATTGTTTCTTAACTAAATTTTAAGTGATTACAATCTGATTATTAGATCAATTATAATATATTATACACTAGTCTCCCTTTCTCCGTGGTTTTGCTTTCCATGATTTCAGTTATCTGCAGTCAACCAAGGTCTGAAAATATTTAGTGGAAAATTCTAGAAATAATTCATAAGTTTTAAATTTAGTGCTGTTCCAAATAGTGTGATGAACTCATACCCTGTACTTCAGTCATCCCTTTGTCCAGCATATCTATGCTGTTTATGTTACCCACCCGTTAGTCACTTAGTAACTGGTTGGAAATCAGATTTTAAAAAATAGTGTATATTAAGTTTGGTAATATTTAGAGTTCCAGACATCCACTGGGGATATTGGAGCATATTCCCCACAGATAAGGGAGGCTACTGTAACTACTGTTTACTGAGTATCCTTCATAGGTCTGGCGTTATGCTTTACAAATATAATTTGTGTGATCCTGTTAACAGTCCTATAAGATAGATGGTAGTGTTGCCATTTTATATAGGAAAAAACTGGTTACAGAAGTTCAGAATTTTATATTAGGTCACATAACTTGTAACTTGACAGAGCCAGCTTTCAAACCTAGGTATAACTGTCTCAAACCTTTTGATATTCTCATTATACCATCTGATTATGTGTAGTGTTTGAATTTTGACCACGTAAAAAGTAAAGATTTTTAAGATGCTGAAGAGTGAAAAATCTAAAGGGTGTGCCTGTCTGTACATTGTAGAGAATTACAGAAGCTGTATTCAAATATACTGAATTACCTAATTTTTTTGTTTGTTGTTTTCAGGTAATAGATGCATATTATTTCTTTTATTTAAAAGAAATGAATGTGACTAGTATTGCATTAAGAGCTGAAACCTGGCTTTTAGCTACATGGCATGTTAAAGTACCTCCGATGTGGCTGGAAGCTTGTATTAACTGGATTCAAGAAGAAAATAATAATGTTAACTTGAGTCAGGCCCAAATGAATAAACAAGTGTTTGAGCAGTGGCTCCTTACTGATCTGAGGGATTTGGAGCATCCTCTTTTACCTGATGGCATTTTAGAAATTCCAAAAGGAGAACTAAATGGATTTTATGCTCTGCAGATCAATTCCTTGGTTGATGTAAGTCAGCCTGCATATTGCCAGATACAGAAGTTGAGAGGAAAGAATACAACAAATGATCTAGTTACAGCTGAAACACAAGTAACCCCAAAACCTTGGGAAGCAAAGCCTTCACGAATGTTGATGCTGCAGCTAACTGATGGAATTGTACAAATACAGGGAATGGAATATCAGCCTATTCCAATTCTTCATAGTGATCTTCCTCCAGGTACAAAAATTTTGATTTATGGAAATATATCTTTCCGTCTTGGTGTTCTCTTATTGAAACCAGAAAATGTGAAAGTATTAGGAGGTGAAGTAGATGCTCTTTTAGAAGAATATGCCCAAGAAAAAGTACTTGCAAGATTAATAGGGGAACCTGATCCTGTACTTTCAGTCATACCAAGCAATTCTAACGAAAACATTCCCAGAGTTACAGATGTTCTAGATCCTGCATTAGGTCCTTCTGATGAAGAACTCTTGGCAAGTCTTGATGAAAACGATGAGCTTACAGCAAATAATGACACTTCCTCAGAAAGGTGTTTCACCATGGGTAGTTCCTCAAATACCATTCCCACAAGACAGTCAAGTTTTGAGCCAGAATTTGTTATTTCTCCAAGACCAAAAGAGGAACCATCAAACCTATCTATGCATTTCATGGATGGGGAATTAGATGACTTTTCATTGGAGGAGGCCTTGCTTTTAGAAGAAACTGTCCAGAAAGAACAGATGGAAACTAAAGAATTGCAGCCATTGACTTTTAACAGAAATGCCGATCGAAGTATAGAGAGATTTTCACATAATCCTAATACTATGAATACTTTTTCTTTGACTTGCAAAAATGGAAACAATAATTGGAGTGAAAAAAATGTATCTGAACAAATGACTAATGAAGACAAATCATTTGGTTGTCTATCTGTTAGAGACCAAAACAGGAGTATTTTTTCAGTTCATCGTAATGTACCCTTAGCCCATGATTTTACAAATAAAGATAAGAACTTAGAGACAGATAATAAAATAAAACAAACCAGCAGTTCAGATGGACATTCCTTAAATAGTAAAATATTAGATAGAGAGGTGGTCAACTATGTACAGAAAAGGAGTTCACAAATTTCTAATGAAAATGATCGTCATTTACAGACTTGTTCTTTAAGATCACCAGAGAATAGCATTAATTTTTCTATTGCCATGGATTTGTATTCTCCACCCTTTATCTATTTGTCTGTTCTACTGGCCAGCAAACCAAAGGAAGTTACAACAGTGAAAGTGAAAGCATTTATTGTAACCTTAACTGGAAATCTCTCAAGTTCTGGTGGCATTTGGAGTATAACTGCAAAGGTGTCTGATGGTACTGCGTATCTAGATGTAGACTTTGTGGATGAAATACTTACTAGCCTGATAGGGTTCTCAGTACCAGAAATGAAACAGTTAAAAAAGGATCCCCTTCAATACCAAAAGTTCCTGGAAGGTTTGCAGAAATGTCAGAGAGATCTAATAGATTTGTGCTGTCTAATGACTATTTCATTTAATCCTTCCTTGTCTAAAGCAATGGTACTGGCATTACAAAATGTTAATACGGAACACCTTGAGAATCTAAAGAAGCGGTTAAATAAATAAGTTAACTAAAATAGTATTAGGAACAATTAATAACAACAAGGAAATATTTAGAATTTGTTCACAATTTTACTTGTGAGACTTTGTGTAAAAAGGAAAGATGAAATTACATAACTTAGTTTAATTTTAAAGTGTTTAATCATGTTTGTTATATGTGGAGCTTTTTAACATAAGTTAATCTTTTTTTTTTTTTTTTTTTTAAAGGCAGGGTCTTGCTTTGTTGCCCAGGCTGGAGTGCAGTGGCATGATCGTAGTTATTGCATTGACCTCCTGAGCTCAAGCAATCCTCCTGCCTTAGCCTCTTGAGTTGCTGGGACTCTAGGCATATACCACCATGCCCAGCTAATTTATTATAATTATTATTTTGTAGGGACAGAGTTTTGCTCTGTTGCCCAGGTTGGTCTCAAACTCCTGGCCTCTCAGTCCTCCTGTCTTGGCCTCTAAAGGTTAATTTTTTAAAAAGTAACTTAGATGGAGGAATATGGTGACCCCCTATTGTTGAGAAATTTGTTTTCCACTTGTCACATAAGATGAATGCTGAAGTATCAATACTGGTGTTCAGTGGTGAGTCATATTGTTGAAAGTTAATAACTATAAAGAGGTAATTTTCCTTCTAATGTGTTGTCTATGGCCATACCAACCTGAACATGCCTGAGCTTGTCATAATATGTTGAGCACCCAAAAGATTTGTTTATATTGTTAATCTTAGGAAAAAATAAATAAAATCCAGTAGATCAGAACATCAAACTTTCAGATGCAAATTGATTTACTGGTTTTTATTTTGCTGATTATAATATTTGGTATATTTAAGGTAATCTAGTTAATTAGGTGCTATTTCATAGATTATATTGAATGATTTAAAACTTTATTTTCAAGGATAGTTTATTTTAAACGGCATATTGAAAATATCTTTAACAAGATCCAGTAGGTAGGACATTTATTGGATTAAAATAAGGCATTTATCTATGTCTTTAGGTGTCATTGTTCCCTTTCTGAATTAGCTGTACATATAAGCCTTCCTTTGGTTTTAAGTGCTGATTTTTTTTATTTTTTAAGAGGGACTGTTTACTATTCTTCCACTGTGTTGTTATAAAGTTGTATTTGAAAGGTAATGTCGTTTTTATTAATCTTTTGTCTTAAAATAATTTAAAGTGCTTTGAGTTTTAAAACATTAAACAAATCCTTAAATAACAAAATACATTGGTGTTTTATTTTATTGAAAATAATGTAACAGGAAATATCAGGAAGTAAGATAAATACATGTATGAAAATATGATAATAGAAGTAGAAGAGAAAGATTTTAAAAATATTTCCATTGTTGTATCAGGGTTCAAAGCACCAGGACACAGATATTGCTAGTATGTGCCCTAGTAATAATCTTGTCTATATACTTGCATAGCTTTTTAATAAGTGATCTGAATGGGATAGCCTTATCTTTCATTATCTTTTCATGAAATGCTGTGCTCTTAGACTCTATCTCTGTGAATGGGGCTTGAAAATTGGGATTAGAACTTCTTTTCATATTGTCATTAAAGACTCACTATCGTACTTTTTATCAATCTATGCTACTCTATTGGTTCTTGGTGCGTTGATTCTGTTTCTAGTCTTCTCTGGCCTGGATTATTGCAGTGGTTTACTAATTGGTCTTTTATCTTATTTTGCCCTCAAACCATGCTCCATAATGTTACCAGAGTGATCTTTCGAAAATAAATTTCTTCTTGTTTTCTCTTCATTAACTTTAATACCAACCTCCTTCCACCCCATTACTTACAGGGTGAAGTCCAAACTCCTCACTATGTAAGGCCTTTTGTGATCTGGCCCCTGACTTCTTTTTTAGCCTATCTTGCCCCATTACTCTTTGCCCCTGAGTTTTAGGGGTACCAAGTTATTTGTAGTACACTAAACATGTGGAAGAATATACCTCTTACTTTCATACTCATGCTTATAGTGCCTCATCCCCCTGCCTTCCTAAATCATTTCCAATTCAGTTTAAGGTTTAGCTGCCTGTTACAGTGTTTCATGAATTCCCCTGTCCACTTGCATGCTGTCCTGTACATTGTACAGACTAATATGTGTGTTTTTACTGTGCTTGTTTCTCTGTTATTCTACTGCTACCTTTTTGGTAGGGTAAGTCTTACGGGGCTGTCCTGTCTGCATTGTAGGATATTTAGCAATACCTTTGGCCTCTGCCCACTGGATGTGAGCAGCATCCCTCCAGTTGTGATAACCAAAAATCTCTCCAGACATCGTCAGATATTCCCTGGAGCTGGAGATGCCCCCAGTTGAGAACCATTGTTCTGTTGGAATATAAGCTGCTTAACAGTATGGTTGAGGGGTTTACCTTGTTGCTCCAGTAAGTATTTCATCAAGTCTGATCATCTTCTGTTGCCTAATATCTTTTGTGATTTCCCATCATCCATTCCAGTAGCATGGTACTTAAAGCCCTAACACATGTGCATACACAGCATCTCAAAGAGCTGCCCTCTTTAGTGAAAGAATAGATTAGAAAAATCTGGCCTGTAGTAAAGAGTGACTATGAAAAAACTTGGATGACTTGGTTTAGATTCTGGTTGGGTAGGGGGAAAAATGTTCTTTTCCCTGAGAATTTGTAGCCGTAGGTCTGTGCTTATGTGGGGCTAACCAGACACTTAAAAGTTACCTGCACGGTAATCTCCAGACTAATAACTGAACGCAAACAAGAATGATCCTAAGAGTTCCTGGCAGTAGCAAATGGGAAGAAAAAAACAAGCATAATCAGATGAGCTCTCTCTCTTGGGAGTGACTCTGGTTTCAGAGTACAGTTGTCCTTTAGTATCCATGGGGGATTGGTTTCAGAACCTTCCACGGATACCAACATCCGGATGCTCAAGTTTCTGATATAAAATGGTACCTTATTTGCATATAACCTATTCACATACTCCCATATACTTTAAATAATTTAATTTCTAGGTTACTTATAAGTCTTTTTTTTTTTTTTTTTTTTTTTTTTGGAGACAGGATCTTGTTCTGTTGCCGTGGCTGGAGTGCAGTGACACAATTACTGCTTACTTCAGCCTTGACCTCCTGGGCTCAAGTGATCCTCTTGCGTCAGCCTGCCGAGTAGCTGGGGCCACAGGTGTATGCCACCATGCCCAGCTAATTACACTTTTTTTGTAGAGATAGTGTCTCGCCATGTTGGCCAGGCTGGTCTCCAACTCCTGTCCTCAAGCCATTGTCCTGCCTCTGCCTCCTAAAGTGCTTAATACAATGTAACTGCTAGGTAAATAGTTGTATTGTTTAGAGAATAATGACAAGGAAGAAAAGTCTGTACACATTCAGTACAGATGCATTTTTATTTTGAATATTTCTGATCCATGGCTGGTTGAATCCATGGATGTGAGGGTTGACCATATATGTTTTTGCTTGTTCATTCTTAAGTCTTACTGGTTGGCTCCTGCCCTGGGTCCAGTACTGCTTGTGACTTGGTGGGTTAGTCTACCCAATTCTGGAGTTAGTAGGCACCACATGAAGCTCTCAGACATTCAGCTATTTTTAGACTTAAAAATAACAACGTAATATGCTTGAAAAAAGACAAGATTGAAAGTTTTAGTTAACTGGGAACTGAAAAACTAAATAGATTTTTTTTTTTTTTTTGAGACAGGGTCTCACTTTTTCACCCAGGCCGGAGTGCAGTAGTGCAATCGTGGCTCACTGCAACCTCGACCTCCTGGGCTCAAGCGATCCTCCTACCATGGTCTCTGGGCAGCTGGGACTACAGGCATGCACCACCAGGCCCAGATAATTTTTTTGTGTTTTTAGTAGAGATGGGATTTTGCCATTTCTACCTAGGCTGGTCTCAAACTCCTGAGCTCAAGCAATCCACCTACCTTGGCCTCCCAAAGTGCTGGGATTACAGTGTGAGCCACTGTGCCTAGCCTAAATGGAAATTCTAACAACAACAAAAAAGCAAGAGCTGGAATTAAGAATTTGATGAGGCTGGGTGCGGTGGCTCATGCCTATAATCCCAGCACTTTGGGAGGCCAAGGCAGGCAGATCACCTGAAGTCGGGAGTTCAAGACCAGCCTGACCAACATGGAGAAATCCCATCTCTACTAAAAATACAAAATTAGCCAGGGGTGGTGGTGCATGCCTGTAATCCCAGCTACTCGGAAGGCTGAGGCAGGAGAATCACTTGAACCCAGGAGGTGGAGGTTGTGGTAAGCTGAGATTGTGCCATTGCACTCCAGCCTGGGCAACGAGCAAAACTCTCTTTCCCCCGCTAAAAAAAAATTTTTTTTGATGAATGAGTTTCAAACCAGATGAAACAAAGCTGAGGATAAATAGTGAAATGAGTTGGGTCAGAAGAAAAAAATTCTGAATGATACATACAGAGACAAAAGGATGGAAAAGAACCAGAAAGCAGTGTAACAGAAGGGCTAACATTAAGCAACTGGAGTTCTAGAAAGAGCAAAGTAGAGAATATTTGGAGTTAATGCTTAAGAATTTCATAAAACTCATGAAGATCTTCAAGCTATAGATTTCAAAAGTTCTGCAAACCTCAGGCAAAATAAATTTTAAAAATACACATACAAATATTACTAATACAGTTGAAAAGTAAAGAAAAAATGTACAGCAGTGACAAAAGTAAGGTATATTACCTTCTAAGGACCAAAATATGACAACTGACCTCTATACAAACAATGGGAATCAGAAGATAATGGAATGACATTTTCAAAGTGATGACATAACTGCCAACCCGGAGTCTATAATAAGCAAAACTGTCCTTAAAAATAGGGTGCAATAGGAAAAATTAAGAACGTTTCCACCAGGTGTGCTGACTCACACCTGTAATCCCAACACTTTGGGAGGCTGAGGCCCATGGATCACTTGAGGTCAGGAGTTTGCAACCCGCCTGGCCAACATGGTGAAACCGTGTCTCTTTAAAGATACAAAAATTAGTCGGATGTGGTGGTGTGCACGTGTAATCCCAGCTACTTGGGATACTCAGGAAGCTGAGGCAGGAGAAATGCTTGAACCTGGGAGGCAGAAGTTGCAGTTGACTGAGATTGTGTCACTGCACTCATCCTGGGCGACAGAGTGAGACTCTGTCTCAAAAAACAAAAAGCAAAAAAACCAAAACATTTCACATGAAAAATGAGAATTTCCCCCTAACAAATCCTGCACACACACAAAAATTGTCTTTAAGCAGAGGGAGAACATTATCAGATAGAAGCTTGGAGATGCAAGAAGGAATATGAATTAAGAGGGTAAATATATGAATTAAATGCATAGTGATTTTACTTTTTTTTGGAGTCAGGGTTTTACTCTGTCAGGCTGGAGTACAGTGATATGATCATGTCTCAATGCAGCTTTGAACTCTTGGGTTCAAAAAATCCTCCTGCTTCAGCCTCCTTAGTAGGTGGGACTACAGGTGCATAACACCATACCTAGCTAAGTTAAAAAAAAAAAAATTACGGAGACAAGGTCTCACTATATTGCCCAGGCTGATAATGAACTGCCCTTGAGCGATCCTCCTGCCTCAGCCTCCCGAGTTGCTGGGATTACAGGCATGAGTCACTGCACCCAGTATAAATGAATAGTGATTTTAAAACAGGCCGGGCTCAGTGGCTCACACCTGTAATCCTAGCACTTTGGGAAACCAAGGTGGGTGGATTGCTTGAGGTCAGGAGTTCCAGACCATCCTGGCCAACATGGTAAAACCCTGTCTCTACTAAAATACAAAAATCAACTGGGTATGGTGGTGCATGCCAGTAATCCCAGCTACTTAGGAGGCTTAAGGCATAAGGATTGCTTGAATTCAGGAGGTGGAGGTTGCAGTGAGCCACACACCACTGCAGCCCAGCCTGGGTGACAGAGTGAGAATCTGAATTTAAAAAAGAAAAAAAAAGCATATAACTTGGGAGAGGGATAAATCAAGTTAAAATGTTTTAATGGCCTTGTTTTCTGAGAAAAGATTAAGCTATAGTTTTATATTAAACTTTTTTCTTTTTTAAAATTTTTATTTTTCATTTTCAACCCTGGCCTACAAATATATTAAGCTCGAATATTCAAAGTTGGTTTTATAATACTCAGGGTAACCACTCTAAAAGATTTTTAAGATCTTAAAATATTGCCACCAAGCTAATGGGACAAAAACATGATAATACAGAACAAATTGCACTCAACCCAAAGGAGTGCAGGAAAGGAAATAAAGAAAGAGTGGCATATGGGGAAAAGCAATTGGTGAGGTGGTAAGTTTAAATCCAAATCTATTAGAAATTGCATTACGTGTAAATAGGCTAAATCCTCTAATAAAAGAGAAGTAAGACAATACAGCCAAATTATAAGATGCATAAAATGCAAAGATAGAGAAAGATGAAAGGGAAAGGTTATAAAACGATGTCTAAACACCAAAAGAAAGCTGCTGTGGCTATAGTAATATCAAACAGTAGAATTTCAGTCAAAAGACTTAGTAAAGAGAAACAGTTGCTAATGATAAAAGGGCTAATTCACAAGGAAGGTTTAACAATTCTAGACTTTCATAATTCAATAATAGCTTCTAAATTTACCAGAGAATTATAAGGAGAAATAAAAAATCCACAACCATAAAGGAAGATTACACACACAATAAAAAATGTTGGCAGAGATACAGAAAATACAATTAAAGTTGACCTAGTCAACATTCATAGAAAACAAATGCATAGTTCTTTTTTTTTTTTTTTCTTTTTTCTGAGACAGAGTCTCACTCTGTTGCCCAGGCTAGAGTGCAATGGCACAATCTTGGCTCACTGCAACCTCTGCCTCCCAAGTTCAAGCGATTGTCCTGCCTCAGCCTCCTGAGTAGCTAGGATTACAGGTGCCTGCCACCACATCCAGCTAATTTTTGTATTTTTAGGGGAGATGGGGTTTCACCATGTTGGTCAGGCTGGTCTCAAATTCCTGACCCCAGGTAATCCACCCACCTTGGCCTTCCAAAGTACTGGTATTACAGGCGTTAGCCACCGCACCCAGCCCTATAGTACACATTTTTAATATACATGTGGAACATTTACAAAAACTGACTCTGCTATACTGTAATACAAGTCTAAGTAAGATTTAAAAGATTATAACAATACAGAGTATATTCTCTGATCATAATTAAAGTAAGCCAGAAGAAATGGTTAGACATTTCATATATTTAATAGGTTGGTACAAAAGTAATTGTGGTTTCAGACAATTTTAAATCATCATAACTAGGCTCAAATACATCTTTATTGATCAAAATAGGAACCACTACAATCAACACATTTTTGCCAACGAGAAATAAGTTTGTTTATTCCTGTAGCATAAACATCTGTACTTCAGGATTGAACAAACTCTTGGAAAGCATTTTCTGCATCCTGCTGGAAGAGTGGAAGAGTTTGCCCTGCAAAAAGTTGTCGAGATGCTTGAAGAGGTGGTAGTCAGTTGGTGAGAGATCAGATGAATATGGAGGATGAAGCAAAACTTTGTAGCCTAATTTGTTCAATTTTTGTAGCATTGGTTGTGCAATGTATGGTTGGGCGTTGTTGTGGAGAAGAATTGGGCCCCTCCTGTTGACCATTGCTGGCTACAGGCATTGCAGTTTTCGGTGCATCTCATTGATTTGCTGAGCATACTTCTCAGATGGAAGGGTTTTGCTGGGGTTCAGAAACTAGTGAATCAGACTGGCAACAGGCCACATAACAGTGTCCATGACCAGGTTTTGGTGCAACTTTGGCTTTGGGAAGTACTTTGGAGCTTCTTCT